ATGATGAATTGACGACCTTCAAGGAGATCGTGAGACTGTCATTTGGCAAGGTATACTGCCAGTAATTCGCGACCAAAGGTGCTGTAATCGGTTTGGGATGATGAGAGCTTCTGTGAAAAGAAAGCCAAGGGCTGCTGGACATTTACGACCATCTGATGGAGTGCCGTTCCAACGGTATGATTCGACACGTCGGTATGCGGCACCAGTTGAGTGGATGGAGATGCTTTGCGGTGGAACAACATGGTGGCATCCTGGAGGGCTGATTTTGAGGTGTTAAACGCGTTAAACGCCTCAGGAGTGTAGAAAACGTCTTTTGCGTTACCACGGAGCAAGCGAGTGAGAGTATGAAGTGTAGCGGAACAATTGAGGATAAAACGACGATTGTAATCAATCAAACCCAAAAAAGATTTAAATTGCTTGACAGAAGTTGGACGGCGGAGGTCCTGAAATGCTTTAACCTTAGAGGATAGTGGGAGAATGCCTCGGTAATTAATCTCATGGCCTAGAAATTCTAAAAAATAAGACACCGAAAAGGCATTTAGAGGGGTTCAATGTGATACCATAATGTTTAAAACGCGAAAAGAGAATGCGCATGTGGTAGCTCCGCTCTTCGGATGGAGTGCCAGCTATTAAAATGTCATCCAAGTAAACAAAAACAAAGTGAAGAACTCGAGTTACTTGGCCCATAAAATGTTCAAATGTTTGTGCTGCATTACTTAAACCAAAATTTGAACATACAGTTCGGCAGGTCATTGATGAAAAGCAGAAACAGTATTGGCCCAAGTACCGATCCTTGCGGAACGCCACTATACATTTTCAACTTCAATTGAATCCGTTGTAACTTCAAGTGAATACAACCAATCGCACTCCATTGGAAACCCCGACAATATGGTTGGTGTTTTGGCCGTCAAATGTCACCGATTAGACCGGATATGTCTAAACCCCCTCCAGTTCGAATGAAGCAATTTCTCGGTTAACAAATAAAAGTACTTTTTCAGTGAGTTACCGAGCGAGGATGAATGTTTCGGTGGTCTAAGGTGCGCCGTTCTCCCCCGAGCCCCCCCCCACACACACAAACGTTCCACCCGGGAACGTCATGTTTGTGATCGTTGATTGAGTGTGTGTCATAGATACGAATGAATGAACCCAGCGTTAATTGACCTCTGTCGGTGGGGTAAGGAAACTAATTATGTCAAGATGGATGGATAAGTCGTTTATCATGCTACGAAGTGAATGTGAACATGAGTCATTGCATGAGTGGAGTCAGTCTAAGCCCTCAATAACCAGATAAGTAAATTCTATTGAAGCCGAGGTTCTCTCGAATAAAACAGATTCCTTTCAATCACATGTGATTGCTTACGTATGTCTGACATTGAACTGCACACTTGACAAGATACTTACCAATGGTAATATTGGTGAAAGAAGTAACAGTATTTCACCTGAATAGCTTTTATGAAATCCTCCGGTTCCGTGGTGGTAGCCGCACACTTTCGCAACCGCGGGTTGAGTGTTAATCGGTAATCGCCACAAATTCGCGGTGTTTTGCCGTCACTTTTGATCGCGATCACGATTGGCGTTACCCACGTACTGGATGTGACTCGTGTGATTATGCCATCGCGCTCCATTTTCTCAAGGACCTGCAGTACACCATCACGTTGGCCGTAGGGAATTACATGTCGTTTCAGGAAAATGGGTTCACCATCAACTTCCAGTTTGGCCGGCTGTACGTTCATACCTCCCGTATTATTGGAACATTTCACGACCAGGTGCTGTAGATGGGTGTGCATCTTGGACATAGAGTTTGTATGGAGCGACACACAATGGTTCAATTCACGAATGGCGGTTAGGCCAAGTATCTATGGCCTGTTTTAAGCAATTAGGAAGCGGATGGGAACAAGGCGATGTTCTTTGAAATGTACCATCAATGAAACCTCACCAATCAATGGCAATTTGTGTCCAGTCACCCCAAGGATTCGCACGGATGTTGGATGGATTTCGGCTTGGGGGCAGATTGATCAAAGCACAGCAATGGAAATGGTAGATTCCATGCTTCTCGTATCAACAATGAATTTGTGCATTGTGCCGGACTGTAATGTTACGTATGTGTATAGGAATTGGGTGCGTTGGCATTCGGATCGTGGAGAGAGAGCGGCAGATTTGCGTCATTCGCAGCCGTTATTTGTACAAGATGACAAGGGGGCTGTTTACACACTTTCCAAATGTGGCCGGGTTTTCCCACATGCATGACAGTTGGCATTTCGGAAGCGGCACGTAGATGGTAAGTTCCACATGCAACACAGAGATTGATACGTTTCTCGTTACCTGAAGAGTCGTGTTGCGGCTTCGGTACACCCGTGGGCAATGGAGGTCGGTTCGGTCGTGCCTTCTGTCGTTGGATTAATGTGACTGTGTGGTGATCCAGGCCTACACGATGGCGCCTACCCTGGACCCGCGCGTTACAGTTTCAGGACATAAGTGATCAATCAAGTTTGAATGCTGACGTCAATAGCACGTGCATGGCTTCTGAGATTCATTCCGTGATATTTGATTATTGATTCGGGTCCTGTAATTCATATTGCATGGTTGGTGTTCCGAATTTCAAGCGTATTACTACTACTACTACTACAATCATTACAAATTGGTGTTGTGTGATGGAGCTCCCAACGACTGAGCAACTGAACTGAGGTCGGTTCAGTCGTGTCTCCTGCCGTTGGAATAATGTGACGGATTCGCTGGAAGTGGATTTCATCAGGTCGTCGTGTTGCTCACGGATGCTGCGAGCATCGGCAAAAGTCAAATCTTTGTTCTCCAGCAACTTTCGTTGAAGTGTCAGATTATGGCTGCCTGCCACCAAGCGGTCACACATTTGTTCTTCCAGGTGATCACGATAGTTGCAACGTGATGCTTGTTTGTTCAGCCGCAGGATGAATTCACTGCAGGAAATATGATTGGAACGAACCATGGAGTTGAATTTGGCCCTTTCATGTGCTTGGAATTCAGTGGGCAGCAGGTGGTTGAGCAGCAGCGATTTCAGGGACTCGTATGGTAGTTTGGTTGGAGCCTCAGGGAACGCCAGGTTTCTCAACAGGGAGTAGAGGTCACGGCCACCAGCAGTAAGAAATAGGGTTGACTGATTATGTGTGCCACCTTTGCGAATGCTGCACCACAGCTCGCACCGTTCGACCCATTCCTCAATCTTGGATGGACTTGCTTGCAGGTTCAGTTGCTCAATCGTTGGGAGCTCCATCACACAACACCAATTTGTAATGATTGTAGTAGTAGTAGTAGTAGTAGTAATACGCTTGAAATTCGGAACACCAACCATGCAATATGAGTTACAGGACCCGAATCAATAATCAACTATCACGGAATGAATCTCGAAAGCACTGGACCACAATGGCACGGATTCGCAATGTCCCATGAGAACGAGACGCGAGGAAAAGGCCACAGGAATGGTAGTAAGCAGTATTTCCTTTATTGAAAGAAATAAAGATGATTCAATAATACGTACAAAGGGAGACTATTGGCTATCTGGGCTTCCACTAATGGGATTGCAGTACTGCTTGCATAATCTTGCTTCTGTCTGCATTGTCCTGGATTGGCTGGCACCATGCGCCAATGAAGTGCATTCAGAAGCCATGCACGTGCTATTGACGTCAGCATTCAAACTTGATTGATCGCTAATGTCCTGAAACTGTAACGCGCGGGTCCAGGGTAGGCGCCATCGTGTAGGCCTGGATCACCGCAGCAACCTAGTCCAAGAGTGTACTATGATACCCTTACTGGCATCCGCATGCCAACGAGTCTCGGGGTGCTGGTTTCCGCGTCTTTAAAAACCAGTTAGCAGACAGACAAAGCCTGCTTTTTGAGTTGGAGATTCTTTGGACCGATTCGACGTTTCTTTTCCAAGCTCTCATACGATGGTTTCAGGGAGGTGTACACTTCCCATTGCAGACCTCGTTTGGAGATCGCGATCGCAGCGATATATCCGTGCACAACTGCCGAAATTGTGAAACTGGAGAGAGTCGAACGAGCTGCCACTCG